AATCCCATTTTTTCATGGCATTCAACTAAAAAAATCTCCATGTCTTCCCTGAATGAAAAATTAAATGTGAATGGGTCTCTGCAGTCTTCCACATCTTTGATGAGATTTTGGAGGGACTTTTCCTTGTCATCCTCTTCCATTCTGAGGAAAAGAGGCTCTTCCACAGGGCCCCTGAACACATGTCTATTGGCATGTATCCATTTTACAGCCAGTTTCATGTGTTAGATTATAGTGAGCTCCTTCATTACAAAATGGCAAAGAATAATACAGTTTTACTATTTCATATAAATTACACATTTGCAACAACACACATTTACTGACAAATACCTCACTGCTGCTGGGTGTAGCTTGTTCTTCATGTAGCTCTAGTGTCTTCTAGAGGTTTTCTGTCCTGTAACATTTTTTGGTTGATTTTTTTTATTAGTCTGGGATAAGGTGCAAGGTAGTGTGAACTGTAGGGAAATAAGGAAATACCTTTCTGGGACAACTCCAAAGTTCTCCAAAAGAATTAGTGCCCACCATCTCCTGATTTTTGGAAAGTCATGCTTTAAGACAGAAATACAGAGAAATCTTATAAATATCAAAACAGCATGAAATCCAATTGCTTGTGCTCCTAATTACTTACAGATGTAAAGTCAAAGGGGGCTCCCAACACAACGTGTAGAGCATACTAAAAAAAGCATACAGCAAAATTTAAGAAAAAGTCAAATCATAATTAAAATGGGGCAAAATTAGTTTGAAAGATAGCAATGCCATTGTTTAGGGATCCCAGAAGAAACAAACTGATACTGTCAATACATTAAATTGGAAGGCAATCATTAGTTTATTTATAGCAAAACATGATTTGCCTTACCATCAACAAATAAATCATTACATTAGTAAAGTACTTAACTACACTACAACACATTAATAAAACAACTCAAATACCCATACTATCATAGACAACTGCCTTGCTGGAATGGCTCTGCAGATGCAATTTTAATTTGTCCAGTCTGGTTGGCTTAAATGTCCGGCAGAAAGGGCAATGATAAAGGCTGCAACAGTTTTGGCACTGTTGGAGCTGAGGTAATTCTTTACCTCTCTGAATTGTAGTATGTCTCTACAGGAGAT